TTTCCAGACGTTTCGCAAGCATCGTCAGTGAGCATTGCCACACCATAACTCACTAGAGACAAGTGAAACCTATCCTTTAACTGATTGTCTGGCAAAAAGTGTGGTATCTCTCCTTCCGTCCTTGGCTAATCGCCAATCCTATATCCTCGTATCACTCCTTCGTTGGCATAATTGTTACTTGCTTTTTTAAATGTGTTATGATGCTTGCTTTTGAGCCGATTTCATAAGAACTCTCCACACCCCACCCTGGCTTTCTCACCTCCTCACCCTTGTGCCGGGAATGTTGATCAATCTACCATATTGTTCCGTAGTCCTCCTCCCAATGGTCTTATCAGTCTCACACTCTGCCCCAGGTAGACTAACTTGAGGCTATAAATCCCGAGTAATTGTGATTGTCAAGCCTTTGTTTTATGGGCCACGTATATGATCAAACGCTTCTACTGATAGCCAACTAGCTCAAGCCTCCGCCGCATCTATAGTGCTTCTGTCCATAGTGCCAAGTCTATGGCTTCCTATGCCCTAGTCTCTTGTGTGCCAACCCACAAATGTCGTGGCTTTACTTGTTTTGATTAGGTTGCCAAGCTTACTCGATTTTAGCAAAGAAAATAATCAAAGTATCCATTGCACCACTTCGATAGTATCCGATTGGAAGGGTTTTAGCAATTCAAGTTATACGTGATAATAAATGGATGACATTGAAGTGCTCAACTAATGAAGGAAAAAAATCGTATTTGATTTGCCGATCTTTGGAGTGTTATATCATGAGATAAAAATGAGTATGAAAATTAATTTTGAAGTAAATCAGCGGGGATGTTTTCTCCCATCGAGATAGTGACGGAATAGAAAGCTTATAGGAAGCCAGTAAGACAATTACTTTCATGTGTAGGAGAGAAAGCTTGGCAAATTGGATGGAGGGGGACTAAATTTAAGATCTGATTAGCTCACAGAAATTGTGTAAAGCGCTTCCAAAGCCGATGGAGGTGATCATGTTTACCTAAATCCACTTTAATTGACACACAGTTGGGTGATATTTGAGCAAAGAAAATAAAAGATAGACAAATAGAAGATATGAAGCGCGTTGAGGGATAGGAGTAAAGAGCTAGAGTAAATAATAGGTAAAAAGGGAGAGGCTGCAACTATTGAGCAACAAATTTGTCGAGGAGAATGCCTTCACTTGAACTTTTATCCATTCATATCTCTATGGTAAGAATGGTGCCTCTTACTGACGATGTCTGCTACGATGCAAGCAAAGCGTTGTGAATGTACTAAATGGAAGATCCGATGTGGAAATTATCATAAATACTGCGTCAAAGGACACAGGACCATCTAAGTTCCATAAGGTCTAACTGTCACTCCGACAAAGTTGCG